AAACCTAAAACATTCAGATGACTCCAGCGCGGTACATTTTTTGTGAAGAATTCTTTGTTATTATGTGCTGGAAAAACGATCTCCTTTGGATCTGGAGTTGTGAAGTGCAGTATTGTTTATGCGCCTGCCACCATCTAGTCATTAAGTATGGAAGCAGGCCACTCTATATCGCAAAATTCCGGTTGCAAACAACGAGGAAGGATGCAAGCAGCCTAACGGCTTCTAATCTTTTTAGAGTTTGCGTTATTGAAAGAGATAATGTTATGCGAACCGATCCCTTCTTTTCTCCTCCTTCCTTCTTTTCTTCTCCTTCCTTCTTTTCTTCTCCCTCCTTCTTTTCACCTTCTTCCTTCTTCTCTTCTCCCTCTTTCTTCTCTTCCTTTTCCTTCTCAGCACTCTTCTTTTCCTCGGGCTTTGATGATTCTGGCTTCCCTTCTTCTTTCTTTTCTCCTTCTTTCTTCTCCTCTTCTTTCTTGTCTCCCTCTTTCTTCTCACCCTCCTTCTTTTCTTCCTCCTTCTTCTCTCCTTCCTTCTTCTCTCCTTCCTTCTTCTCTCCTTCTTTCTTCTCTCCCTCCTTCGGCTTCTCAGCTGGTTTTGCTGGTGGAGCAGGCTTAGGCTCCTCCTAAATTGAAAAATTACAACGCTTTTCTGACTATTTGTACTGCTGCACATACTTTCTTGGCTTTCTTTTTACCTCCACATTGGATGAGGAGGTAAATGGAAGATAAGAATTGCAGAATCAAATAGACAAAGAGGTAAATCATCGCGAGTTTTTGCGAATTGTATTTTCTCAATACGGAACCTGCAAACAAAGAAATTCTATTTATTAGCGTGCAATTGCGGGAAAAGTTAAACCTCTTGCTTAGATTCCGATGACTACCAGCAACCTTCACTGGTGGACCTTCAAATAGAAATGGGAGTGAATTGTTGTTTGATGTTCATGGTACGAAATTCATACATGATAGAGGGCAAGACTTACATGTTGGTGCATAGACTGAAGGCCCTTCAAGGAAAGTCCATGCTATCACCTCTGCTTCGCGCGCGGGCTCATTTACCTATGAGCTGTAAGCCGGGACTTGCGGCCAAATAAAAATTGTGGTGTTTCTTCTGAATTGGTGTTTTTCCCAACTTCTTTCTAGTTTTTCCATTTTTCTAATTCTGGTGTCATGAACGGAAGATGAGATAGGAGTCCCCATTTCACCGTCAAAGAAAAGTGAAACTGGCAACTGAACTGAAACTATATGTTGACATAAACTAACATTGAAAACAGTGGCGATTCTTTTCCGGGGCGAACATTGCTAGAAGGTAAGACGTAGGTTAGTACCGTGTAGCATGTCCCCGGAGATAGTGCGTAATTATGGGTGCTGTGTTAAAGATGTAGTAATGGAGCTTGTAACGAACTGGAATAAAGAAATCTTGGATATCATCGTTACATATCTACCAGTGTCACCTCTCTTTTGGAGAGGCTCGCACTGATACTTTCTCGGAAAGTTAGATTCAGCAATTGAAAGCACTAAATCAGTGCTCTGTTACGATACCCTTACCTCAAAAGCCATCGTGTATGTGCACCTTTGTTGCTAGTACTAAAGTTCTGATCTTACCTCTCAACGCCTTCATGGAAGAGAAGGTTGCAGAAGCCACTTATCCTCCGCAGAGCCATAGCAAGACGAAATGAACAGCCACTCATCAAGTTTCCACCAAAAATTGCTCATGTTACCTACTTCCCTGCAGTTAACATGATAGCATATAATAACTTTTAACTTTCTTAGGACAAATGAAACACATACACACATACAGACAAACTACGCCCTTCATTACAAGTAACCAGTGCTTCACCTCTCCTTCG